AGACAAAAAGCGCCCCCACCAAATAAGCAACTTTTCTTTTTGATTAATTTGATGAAATAATAGAAATGTCACCAAATAGACTAACAACAAAAGAGCAACTTTTAATATTATAGATGTCACATGGCCGACTTCTACCCACCCTAACGCCTAGATTCACATCGTCAAGATTTTCTATGTCTTGATCAACAATATTTTTTTCAGGGAAAATTGCAAAATTGGTTCTCGACCTATCGACTTTATCGGATTTTTATCATCAACATTTATTTCGTGACAGTATAATCCTCCTCAATTTTTATATTTTACGTGTGCTATTAGTCTCGATTCCACTTTTCCATCAAAACGCCTGTTGGAAAAGGCGACATTTCTCCTGCAACCAAAGGTCCCTTCTTCGAGAATAGAGTAGGAATAGTTAAATGACGACATTATCCCTAAGAGTTGTGAATGTAATCGATGTGCATATGCGTTACTAACATGCTTTTTGACAAAAAAAAAGTAAGATCGAGAATTATGACAAAGCACTTACGAATTAAAAGTTGGTAATAATTCTGCCAAAAAGACAAAGTTGATAATGAAACTACGAGTAAGTGGATAGCTAGGTTAGAGACTCTCACATAGAGATCGAAGACAAAGTTACCTAATAGTAACATATGTTAAATGACATAATTCACGAAATAAAAAGTTTTTCGTAGAACTTATGCCGTTACTTCAATAACCACAAATTTTTTTAAACTTAAATCCAAAAAGTGTGCCTCAACTTCATAAGTTGAACACATCGTATTGAACAACATTGAGAAATAAAAATAAACTAAATTTTACTATTGTCAAGTCTTTCCTAACATTACGTAGTAAACAATGCAACACAGTCGTCTAACTCTAAGCCTTATACTTTGTTCTTATTTGAATAACATGGTTCTTTATTTGAATTTCATCTTACCTCCAGAATGAGATTCGAACATAACTAATCACTTACTTGTTAAGGTTTCATTTTACCACTTGAATTAGACCTTGATCTCTGGATAATATGATTCTTCAATTTTCGTAAACTCAATGAATAAAAAATAATCCCAACTGCAAAGTAAAAAAAATTTAAAAATATTAATATAACAATTTGAACTTAGTAAGTTATAACCAACCAAGATGATATATACTCTTTATTCAATGGTAATAATAGTGTTCAATGATGACATATTATAATTACGTACTCGCTCTAGAATTTTTCTTTAACTAAAAG